TGTGGACGACTTCCTATTGGTATATACTGCAGTATCTACCCGTGTTTTTAATATCAGAAAATTATCAAGCAAATATTTGGTGACATTTCCTATCGCTTCAGACTAAAAATGCCGGGGTTACATTATGTTTTCATTGTGAAAACGCACTGTCACAAAGTTGGCAGCACCGGGTAAAATAAGGACACTTTCAAATTAAGAAAAGGCTGAATTATTATTAATTTTTCAATTTTCTGGAATTTCCATTCTGTAGCGAAAGAACGGATATACATGGTGTATTTTTTTTAGAATTTTATGTGGCAAAGAAATGTTTGAGAATTTAAAAAAACGCGTCCAAACCAGTCAAAAAGTATCCCCGTTTCACGGTAGCTTTTCTGTAAGAATAGCCAACTTTTATATTAACAATCTTTTTTTGCCTACTTTCTATTGGACTGACTAAACTAGACCATTAGAACCCTTGTTCCATCATGAAGCCATGGCTCTTTCATTTTGTTTATTTCCATTTTTTTCACAATAGATGTTTAGTATGTCGGTTCTTCTGGTAGCTGTAGTCTGTTTTGGCTTGTAGTCTAAGTCTAATCCGTCAATGTCAGAAAATATGCTATTTTCTCTGTGAGATTGACAAAGACAGCTTCACCTAGGCGGCTTCTTCAATAATTATTATAATTAGATCATCAGAGCTAATGTGGTCAGGATTTTTTAGGCTTGTCTTCCGCAGTAAGAATATGTATAGGAGAATTCGTTTGGCGTCGACTTTCATCTCCTCACCGTCTTACACATATTCATCGTCATCAGCCATCCCAATGCAGCACAATTTGCTGCTAAAGGCAATGCGATGTTTCATTGAAAATAGAACAAAAACTTATACTGAGTGACCTACTGAGAACTAGAAACCCCGATTTTTTTAGGTAAATAATTATTTTCAGATTTTTATAATATAAATAAAAAATAAACCAGAAATGATAGCATCATTATAGTTGTGCACCCTTTCAATAATGATGCAGTCACTCGATGCACATTAACATTTTAAATTCAAAAGTTGGATTTTTACATCTTCAAGAACACGAAACAGTTATTCCAAATAATTGTCCACGATATTAACAATTTTTTTTTTGGTAACGTTTTTATTTTTTCTTGTGTCAAAATATTAGAAAGAATTTTGCAGGTTTTCATGTATCACTCGACTCTACCCTCTTGCCATAAATATATATATATATATCCCTCAAACACAAAATTGACGTTTTTAGCATTTTTTTTTTGTGCAGATACCTACCTAAAAAAGATTTGAGTCGGGTGCGTCCTTTCTGTTACACCACAGTATTTGAAAAATATCAAGACATAGTGATTGAAAAAAATATATTCGATGGAAAAAGTAAATTTCGACCGTACAAATTTATTAGCTGGAAATTTCGGGAATGCGGTCTGTATATATTAAAACTCGATTACTTTTTAACTCAATATTTCGTCCACTTTATTGTGACTTCTTCAGGAGTACTTAAAATGGAAAATAGGTACATAATATTAATAATAAAACTACTCACAATGCTCAGAGTTATACAAAATTATTAGGAATAAATTAAACAAGATGGAATCAATGACGGTAGAATATTTTGTAAGTAAAATTTCTAGAATGTGAAAGTAGAAATAAATTTGATATAAAACGATTGACAAGAAACAGAAAATAATATGACATACAATATGTATAAGGTATAATTTTGGTACTTTGTTCAAAAATAGGTGATTATAAAAAAGTTATTAGGATATGTTACGGTTTTTAGCGTTAGTTGAATGCAATCAGATGGTATTGCAGATTTAATATCGTCAACATATTTATATAGAGTTAAGCATTCCAATAATATACAAAAAGTTGCCATTTAATGATAAACTAACAGTCCCCATAATATCAATATTTAAAGATTTTCCAAACATTCAAATAGGTTAATTAAATCAATTAAAAAATCAAAGTTCATTCCCGAAAGTTAAACAAAAAACTCCCATAATGTTTGAGAGTAATTTAATTTATGAAATGTCTTGTTTGGATTGTCAAAGCAGTTACATTGGACAAACTATGCAGTGGTTAAAACAAAAAATTACGCAACATAGAAGTGATTGCAAATTAGGAAAAAATACGTGTGCCGGTGGGGAACATCATTTGAAGACTGGGCATCAGTTTGATTTTGATAATGTAAAAATATAGGAAAAAGAATCAAATTATGAAAACCGTTTATTTTTGTAAATGTGTCACATAAATAAAAATAAAAGTTCAATCAACGCTAAATTAGATACTAATAACTTGAGCAACATCTACTGTAACATTTTTCATCACTTAAATATATCCTAATAACTTTTTTATTTATAATCACCTATTTTTGAACAAATCAACGCGCTCGGCTCACTTAACAATAGGACATAGGATAGGATTGCGGTCTGAGAGTCACCTATACCGAAAGACATCAGACATCCTATACCTAACCCAGAATAATACTGTTTAATATTTTTTCATCATTTGGTAAACTAGCAGGAACCAGATGTTTGTGTTTTATGCAGGTGCATCAGGTCAGCTAATATCATTGTTGTACTTTATATGTACCTACCCTAGATTATGTAGGTAGGTATGTATTTTTCGCGGTATTTCCGATCAGTCGGACCTCTATCTTTCAAAATATGGAACCGAACGCTTGGAGCCGTATCCTTCAGGATATGAGTTCGAGCGTTCGGACCCCTATACACAGTCTATAATATTTAGGTTTTCCATGTGTTCATTCTCTCTATGTTGGTGAACATTTTACATTTAGCATATGGTGTACCTACCAAATGATTGGATTTACATATTTCGGCTGCTTTTTTAAATCTTTTCGTGGAGAAAAAACAGATATGAAATATTTTTTTATCAAGATAACAATTTTTTTTATGTGGGATCAATTATTCAGCATACCCAATAGCAAATCACTTTAACAGATGTCACGTGACCACTGTCATGTTAAATAGGTAAAAAGTAGGGTAAGATGACAAGATGTCGAGAAGTTGCAAAGAAAAAAGTGGTTCAGAATTCGATTTAACGTCTGTGTATCTATTTAAAAATGGCCTCTACGGAAACAAAGAAGACTAGACACATCAGGAGACGGTATTTCTAAAAACGGAATATCTCCCAAATATTTGCAAACGAATGAGCAAGTTGCAGATTTGTTTACTAAATCTATGAGCAGTGTGAATTTTAAATTTATTAGAAATAAATTAAACATAAATATTTGCTAAATAAATGCTTTATGTAAAGTATTGTTTTTAACAGTATTGATTTCTAGATCATAAGAATTGAGGTTGATCTTACAATTCATAGAGTGCACTCATTTATTTGAATCTGTGAAAGTACCCCAAGTTATTATTTGACATTCGACATCATATATAATTTTTTTTTCAAGTCAACTGTAAGTGCTCATTATTTTCAACAATTAGGCAATCCAATTCATCTGTCAAATAGGAAAATTCAAGATGGCGTGGCGGCCAAGCAAGTTTGTTTTGAATATGTTTTTATCAATGACATCAAAACACAGATAGACGGATCACCCCATTCATAAACTGATATTTGTTGTGTTGACAAGACCACCCATGGGCCAGGGGAGGTGAGTTGCTCGCGGGGTCGGGGTGGGGAGACATCATTGCTCAAAATGGTGTAAAAAACCCCGCCCACACGTGAATATATCTCAAAATTTAATTGGATGAATAAATAAAATAACAAATTGACAAATACACTGAAAATATTCGATACGAGCCCTTTATTCTAGGAGTACCAATATCGTATTGGTCGTTTCTTGTTTAACGCTAATGAATAATCCCTGTTTGCGATAAAGATAGCCAGCTACTCCAACCAACACCTGCCTGCCATTCAACAAGCCGCTTCTGGGCGGTGTTTTGCTACAATCTGCTGTTGCCAAATTGAGTTCCGAAATAAAATTGAAAACGTTAATTAGAAAAGGAGAAAAATATATTATTTAGGGAATCGAGACAAAATTTGGCATTCTCAGTGGTGGGGATAGCACAAAGACCCAAAAGAGACAGAGAGATGTTGTCATACGAAAATTTTGTTTATTGTTCGGTCTATCTGTGTTTTGATGTCATTGGTTTTTATGCGTATTTTAAATTATTTTGCTTAGAGTTTTGCTTAAAACTTGTGTTCTTAATAACAATGAAATTCTCTCTCAAATGATTTGATTTCTGTTGTTAAAACAGTATCTCAATATAGCCACTCCTTGAGAAAATTCGAATTTTCAGTTATATCATCGTAACTGCTGCGGCCCCTAGCGGTCATCTTAGAAACTTGTAAAATAGTTTCCATTAATTTCTCTTGGCCGATTTAGTGAAGAAAAAAAAAATCCCGAAGCCGTAAGGTCTATGGTTTCCATAATATCGTACCTTACCGACCTTAGTGGGACACTGTGGGGTTAGAAGTGAAGAAATCGTGAACTTACTTATATTTTTTTTTATTTTGATTACGCCTGTGACAATGGATGCCGATTTTGTAATAATTTTTTTAAAAAATGTACCTCGTAATAAAATAACCACATCAATAATTTTCATAACACTTTGAAATGACTTTTGGATACCCTTGATAATCTGTAAAAGCATACATCTGGAACTTCAATATTTCCATATTTTTGTAAGTAGACCTAAACCTAAGAAATATATGTTTTAATGAGTAATCTTTAGAGATTCCAGCACATAAAATTCTTCGAGAGATATTTTCAGTGGCATGAATTTGCTAAAATGGACTGAGAGACACGATAACAGGATTAGAGATGAACCCTTTCAAAAAAACGAGTCGAATAGTCGATAAACAAAAACTTTTAATTTCCGATATTTGAAACTTCTTGTATAGTGTCTACGCAGTAATTTGAGCTTTTACTACCTATATTATTTGATAAAATTAGGGATGGAATTTTTAAATTTAGTTTTAGCTTTTCATGTTCCTGTTTTGTTCTCAAATGTGTTTTTTTATCTCATTGCAGAGTACGATTACGATGGTGAATACACGTTACCATCAAACGGACCGCCACCCATTGAAAAGCCACCAGTAAAAGGATCAGCGGCCTCAACACACAACACTCCTCGATTATTCTTGTATGTAAACTCATTCCTATGCATATGTTCCTATATTTTTAAGTTAATAGTAAGGTGAATTTTAATTTGCAATTGGGTAGTTATTCAAGGTTATGAATGTAAACAATTTCTGATTTTTCAGTTTTGCCCAAATATAATGGATTCTTGGCTGATAAAAACAACATCAACGATTTAAATGCCTATTAATAGGTACCTACCTTTGCAATTGAATAAAGTTCTTGACTGTATTATAGGGGTTTCTTAATGTTAAATATACCCTGGTTTAACCAAAACGGAAAACCTTAATTTATTTCAAAAACAAAACACGTCAAAAACTGATTTTCAAGCAACCCTCTTAAACATTTTAAATGTGAAGGTTGTTATGTTACATCATTTCAATCCTATTTTTACCATTGAATTTAAAATTGATTTTCTTATCACAGCCAATATGATAGCTGGACAAAATATGGGTAATTTTTCTCATTTCGACAGAATAAGGGCCTGGTCAATAAAATATAGTAAATAAATTTTTTTTAGTCTCGTCTTCAGATTCGTTTATTAAGTCGTGATTCTGAGACGGTTGCGATTTTCTGACAATAATAATCAGTTATTATACCTACTGTATTTTATTTAATTCGAGAGAAAATAAATATACCTAGTAGTGCCGACAACCTGTCAAATTGACTGCGATAATAACAATAATTTCAACAAAGTTCAAGGAATCACTATACTTTCACGAAAATTGTTTTTAAAGATTCTGTATTTCAATTTAAACTTCAAGCAAGTAAGTTGACGTGTCTTGTTCCAGTTGGAATAAATAGAATGTTATTATGTGCGTCATGAAAAAGTTAGACAGCTTGGCCAATCCTTAGAAACTACTTAACAACATCAAAAGTCTTGGACCCTTGTGTAATATATCTTCTGTATGTTCATTTCGATTTCCCTTCTAGGCAAGTTGAGACAGCTACTTGGTGATCAAACAAAAAATTTTGGATATTTATTATTTTTTTTTAAAAATTTGTTACCCCTACGTTTTCAAGAATATTGAGCTAAGCAAATTTGATGCTCTTGTTGTTGAAATGAGGCCAGAACGTGAAATTCCCGAATTGTTATTTTGCATGATATTGCATATTCATGGTGCAGCAAATTCCATGATATTGTCTGTGCGAATGGTTCAGAGGTTTGCGAAATTTGGATAGTCAAATTTGCGAATAAAAATAATTATCCGGTGTTTTCAACTTGTCATCACAGTATATTGCGAAGGAAGACGTAGAAGGAGACATAGAAGGAAGACGTAGAAGTCTACCATTGGTGCTGATTCTGAATCCTAGGAGAAAAGTGAGACAACGACAATTTAATTTTTTTCAGAAGCACACAAAAAATGAAAATTGACGTGTCCGAGAGGAAAGTCAGGAAAGTGTTATTTTGAGAATAACAGGCCCAGAAGATTGTTTCTTATTTAGCCCATGGCAACTTTGACAGTGAATATCTTGAGAACTAATCATTCGATTTTCAAAAAAAAAAAAATCGCAGTTGTGGCGAGAATCAAAATACCTTTGAAAAAAATTATCACTCAACCCATCTTCCTTATCTAAAAAAGAGGGGTGAAAGTCACCCCACCCAGGGGGTGCACCCTAGCGAAATACCGATGGGGTCAAAAAGTCTACCTCTTGAATACAAAAATAAAGTGTCCGAGCGTTTTTTTTTAAATCGACCTTAATATGCCCTAAAACGCCTCTGTTTCGATATTCTTGAAACACCCTGTATATGGTATGGCTATGGTACCGTGTGTGAAAACGCCGTGTTAGGGTGGCCTTAGCAAACAAGTAGTTTTCAATGTGCAAACTTTCATGCAAGACGGTCTTTAAGAATACTTATATGTATTTCTACGACACCGGGCTAGCCGCTTACAGCGGATACAGAAGCATAACGCATGACTGGCGATGGTTCATATTCTCAGATGAAACAAGAGTTCGACTGCAGCGAGCAAGGTTCTTGATAAAGATTAAAATTTTTTTTTCTATGAAGGAGGGACGACAGTGCTTTCGAGAAATCTTATAATCGCCACATGCTTCTAATTCGAGAATATGACAAGTGTAGATTGGTATTTAATAAAGTCAATGATCGATTACTGAATGAAGAATGAAATTAAAAATACACGATGCGAGCTCAACGTGTACCAACAAGCGGAAGTGACCACTATTTTCTGAAGGCCAGATTCCTCTTGCTTTTTCAGAGACCAAGCCGGCATTAGCAAGACAAAGAAGACAGTATGAGAGAAGAGATCGACCTATTTTAAATACAATGCATAAAGCTTAAAGAACTTTGACCAAAAAAGAAAGCGGAAAACTTCGAGCATCGCCGTGTGAAAACCCAGATGAAGAATACAAAACTAACACCAAGCCGAAAATGATGCACTAGGTCGAGTCGAAGAAAAGCCGGAAAAGCAATACTGGTAGGATGATGAGAGTGAGAGGGAAATAAAGGTAGAGAAGACTATTTCACACATACTTGCACAAAGAAAAGATCAGAAGTAAACAAGATTATAAGGTCGCGTGAGAAAAAGTAGGAAGAATGTTATTAGATTCAAAGAAAATTGTATTAGAGACTAGAAGATGCCAGAAAATAGAATATAGGAGGTGAAAACCGCACGAAAACTTGAAAAGTTATGAGAAAAAACATTCAGCTATTATATCTCCAATCATAGGTAGGATCAAAACTTCAATAAACTACTAACATAGGTATAGCAGAGTTTCAAGAAGAAGATAACCCCATTGTGAACAAAACTATTGAATCGCCGATATCGCTGACAGTTCCTGAACTTGTGTTTAAATCTAAAGAACGGAAAAGCTTTTACACCAGGCAGAATTGATTAAATATGGCACAGAAGAAACGAATAAGTGTAAACCTAGAAACTATTTAAGACCAATAAAAAAATATACAACAACGACGAGGCGAAAATGAAGGCAAAAAATGGCCAAAGGATTTGAAGCCAATAACTGGCTTAAACAAAGGTGGTGTATTTTTCCTACACTTTTCAAGGTATATCTGGAATTAAATCTCAAAATATGGAAAAGAAAATGTCAGAACATTGCATCCCTTAGAAGAAATTATACTGTATTCTTAATGTTTAATGCCGATTACCAAATAGTAGTGGCTCAGGGCAACGAGTCTCTTGAGAACATGACAAGAAAACTTTTCCTAGAATACAAATGGGAACTGGAAGTCAACCTCAAGAAAAACGAACATTATGTTTATTGGAGAAAGTAGCCAGAACCTAGTTTGGGATACGAAACAGCGAATTCACGCCTGGGAGAAACATAAATATTATTATTATTATCATTATTTAAACAAGAGCAAGCAGTGAAATAAAGGGTGTTCCAAAAAGAGGTTCCGGATGTTTTTTTCAATTGAAACGAAAAGCAAACTAGGAAACATTTAATACTTTATAGCAATAAGTAATATGATCGTTTACAATTATACGAGGAACACAATATCCGACAAATGGCAACCGCAACTTCTCTCACAACACACAATTCTTTTGCCAAAATTTTCGATCACATCTGTGCCCATTTCCAGTGGCATCTCGCGATTCTCGAACAATGCGCCGATTCTCATCTTTCAATTCTTGAATTGTTTGGGGATTGTTCACATAAGCTCTACTTTTCCAACAAGACAGCGCAACATGTCACACAGCAAGAGAAACCATTGACTCATTGCAAACACTGTTTGAAGGTAAACTTCTTTCAAAAGATGGGGATGTTAATTGACCGCCTAGATCTTGCCATCTAACGTCACCAGACTTTTTTTCGTGAGGTTACATCAAAAGTAAAACGTATGTGAACAATTCCCGAACAATTCAAGAGTTGAAAGATGAGATTCGGCGCATTATTCGTGAGATACCACCGGAAATGTGCACAGATATGATCGAAAATGTTGGCAAAAAAATTGTGTGCTGTGAGAGAAGTCGCGGTGGCCATTTGCTGGATATTGTGTTTCACGTATAATTGTAAACGATCATGTTACTTATTGCTATAAAGTATTAAATGTTTCCAAGTTTGCTTTTCGTTTCAATTGAAAAAAAAAAACATCCGGAACCTCTTATTGGAATCAATGTTGCCAACTCGGTAGAATTTCCACTTTTTCTAGTGGATTTGAAAGTCGTCTAGTGGAATGGTTGTAGCAAATTCCACTATAGTGGCAATTTTAATGGGAATGGGATCCACGGTTTCTAGTGAATTTTGAGCTCAATGATTTTTAGTGATACTTCGCTTCCATTAGTTTTCGATACTTCTTTTTAAAATTTCGTAATAACGTATTTGTATAGGATTCCTGTTAATTTATAGAAGGCAGCATATTTTCAAGGATGATACACATCTACAGGATTGCTTATCGGCCTCGTGTGTCACCATTTCCGACGTCATACCTGAGTCGTCAGCTGTTTAAACCGCCTACGTCAAGGCGACAAATAACATGCTGCCTACGTCACAACTAATGATTTGGCGAGGGAGGATTTGTTACATACAGGCCTTATGAGGATAGGCCATCCTCTAGTAGTATAGTGTGTATCATCCCTGGCATATTCTTTTGTGGGCTTGTCATATCGTAGGTATGTCAATATTGTCAATGATGCTTTTATGTCAACTGTCAACATTGTCACTTTCAAACTTCAAGTCAAGTAAACCCGGCTTTCATGCTTTTATAAACATGCTGCTGCAACATTAATGGCCTTTTGCACGGCTATCACTTAATATATATTTAATTTAAGTGGAGCTTTGAATGTGACTTTTGTTTCTAAAAAAGTCACATTCAAAGCTCCACTTGGATTAAATATCCCTTAAGTAATAACGGTGCAAATGGCCGTATGAAACAAAGAGAAGAAACCAACACAACACAACATGGTAGATGATACCTGGATGGCGTTGAGTATCCATATTTTTAAGATTAAACAATAAAAAGACATTATAAGTGCTAAAAATTTCAAAAAAAAACTGGAAAAATTTAGTAGATTTTCCACTAATCCAAAAATTTTTCGCCTGCGGCGCTATTTTTTTCTCCTAGTGGAATTAGTCAGGGCCGTTCTTAGGCGAGCGCAGGTTGTGCAGGCACAAAGGCGGCCAAACTGAAAGGGCGGCCACAGGCCGCAAAGTCGGAAACTGTGAAATAGTGTAAAATAATTTTTTAAAGGAAAATTAAATTTCATACTCAATTAAGGCATTTCACAGAAACTAGCCCTAAAAAGAATTCGCTTTACTTCACAGAGGACTAACCAATAAGAGTGTTTCCGCA